TCTTTTCCGCATGCGGCCAAATTGTATTCGGTGTGGTAATGGTTGGTTGCTTAATCCTTACTGCTATACCGACATTTGACGGAAGTTCGTTTGCAGAATATCTTTGTGAAATTTTTGTTAAAATTTAACATTCCTTTTTAGAGATGTTTTCATGGAAATGCGTCACAGATTTCAAGAATTGTGATGAACTTAAGGTAGCACAAATTAAGCTTAGCATTATGTTTTATAAAGACAATGCCAGGTTATTTTTAGGGTCAAACTGGATATATGAAAACTGTTGCGATTTTTATGTGTTTGGCCCTCTTTTTTGAATTGGTCGCTCTGGTCTGGAATCTTATCGCATTGTGAGTTCAATTCATACATCCCTAGATTTTTAATTTGCGAAAAAAAAAACTGTGTATGTTTCTTTTGGTTTTATCACCTAGCTCTGAATTAAAACTGAAATTTCCGATCAATATTCATTTAAAAAACTATATGAAATTTCTCACTCAACTCCTTATCGATCAACAGAAGTCGTAAAGACAGTGCATGCATAGAAAATCTGTAACTATGGAAATGGAACGATTTTGCCTCATCCAGCCTCTGTAGCTAATTATTTAGTTGTCTGTTAGCTATAAGCTTAAAGTAGCCCAATGATCATACATAAATTAGTTGTAGCAATTGCTACACGAGTAAAATTCAGTATTACCTTGCTTTCTTCATGTAACTTATAACTCTGAATCGAATTTGGGTGATAGGAAAACACATTCAAGTCTTCAAACTTTTTAAAACCAATTTCTAAAAAAAATGTCCATAGTACTCTTCTGCAATATAAGATACAATAATGATCCCTCTTCAAAATGAATACGAAAGGGACCTAAAAACAAAAATAGTCCTTTAAATATAAGATTTTTCTGGACGGCAATGTACTAAGAAGAAACCACCTATTTCTTGTTATAGCGAAGTTTTTGTATTGCTTGATAAAGCTTGGTTAATAGCAACAGAAGGGGATTTGATAAAACTTGTTGGCGCCATTTCAAACCAGGAAAGAATACTTGGTCGATGACCGCCCAAAGACGTAAATAGTGGTAGATGCAGAACGCTAATTCCAAATCATTTTTGTATCTATAAATGTTCTTTTAAAAAAAGTTATTGACGTTTTTTTCCCTGTCAGAAATGACTTACAGGGTATTTAAGAAATGCGTAAGCGTTTGACTTTCACTGAAACAGGAACGCAAAAATTGATTATTGATGTATTAATGTTTTATTCAAGAAAAACCTTTTTGTTGTTGTGCGAAAATTGATATTTCTAGCAATTATTGATACATCGTGCTCGTTTTCAGCATAGAGAAAGTTTCATGATTTCTTTCAGAAAAAACTTGGCAGATAAAA